TTTGATCAGGCAGAGAGAGAGAGAGAGAGAAAGAGAGGGAGAGTGAGAGAATAAGCTGCCAGGTCCGAGACTTGAATTGTGGTTGGCGATGTGAATGTGGGAATCCAGCGCCCTCAACCACCACGCCACCTGCTGGTTCCAAAAAAAATGCATCCAACTGCACTTAAATATCCTTTCATTATTTCTCAGCCCTGAAGGATATCTCTTTTCCTTCTTCTTTTATATCAGCTAAATTTTTTAATATACATTTTAAAATTATTTAATTGTGTTATTATTATTTATTTTTAAATTTGACCAGAGAGAGACAGAAAGACAGAGAGAAAGGGACTTTTCTTCATTCTCCTGGGTTTTTGCACACACTCATACACAGGTGCTCAGCATGATTTTCAAGCCGCTAGGTCCAAGATTCAAACTGTGGTCGGCCCTGTGGAAGTTCAGCGCCTTCACCACTCTGCCATCTGCTGGTCCCCATTTTCTTTGACGTGCATGGTTTAACATTAGCACCTTTGTCTTCACAGGCCGGGGCTGTAGCTCTAACAGGGGTTTACGCTTTAACTACAACAAGGCAGGCTGCCAGAGTCTCAGACTAGACTCACTCCTTAGAGCCTGATTCTCCCACCATGAACTGGTGCCAACAGCCCAGCCCCCACCTCCCCCACACCCCACCCACCAGCTGGGAGCCCCACTCACCATCCTTGTGAGGGAACCTGCCAACTAGAAGAATGAGGTCAGCAAGACTCATGGGAGAGGCTGGGGCAGAGCCAGCTAGAGCTGGATCTCTATGAGGGGATCCCCAACTTAGCTTAGGGGTGCAACTCCAATCTTGTGGCACCTGAGGTCTGGCCAGCGAGGGTTGCTCATCACTAACACAAAAGGAATGAAGATGAGAGATTCAAGAAAAGGCCAGGATGAGGGAGGGTGTGGGAGAGACCCTGGCTGACCTCCACCTCACCTTTCTCCCTCCCTCCCGGCTGCTGCCAGCAAGCCCTGGGTTATCAGACTATCCAGGTGGGCCGCCAGCAGGCCGAGGTGCTCATCGTGGAGCAGACCGTGCACTCCAGAGAGGGCATCCCCATGTCCTGCCAGTTCTACCTGCTGTCTGATGGGTGAGCCACTCGCCGTGGGGCCAGCACCATTGTCGCACTTAGCATCAGGGGGCAGGACAGGGCAACAGGGGGACTAGCTGTTTCTGAGGACCCAGCAGGAGTATTGCCATTGAGACCCAAGTGTCCCTGTTTAATTCACATCAGTCACTGTTTTTTCATGTATTCCGTCTTTGTCTTTTTTCTTTATTAGTTTAAAGTGTATTTATTTATTTCTTCCATGAGCAAAAGAGATGGAGAGAGAGAGATGGTACCCCTAAGAGGGTTCCGATGCCGCCATCCACCCCCCAGCCTTCAGCCAGCCCCAGATGGTGGGCACGCACATGCCTAATGTACTCAGGGAGGTCTCCAGACTTGAACCAGGGGCCTTCCCATTTGGGATTTGCCTCGCAGAATTGCACTGTACTGCCGCACCCTCGCTTGTTTTCTGAATCCTCACGACGCCTCCCACGCCTTCTCACTGTGGAGCCCTGAGCGTGTAGGAAGCAATGCCAACTCCCCAAGGCCCAAGGCATAGCTCGGGCAGCTGCCCTGGTGTCAGGGTCACAGTGAACAGCATGCTGCTGCACTGTCACCAGCCGCTCCAAGTCATGAGAAAATAAGGGTGGGGAGAAGAATTTAAGAATTTGTTTCTTGAAACTTCAGAAGAGGCACTGACATAATCACTAATAGAAAAAAGTCACTGGGATGTTTCTGGCTTCCTTGTTTTATAACTTAGTGTGTTTCTGTTTTGAGTGTCACCTGGCAGGAGGGCTTTTTTTTTTTTTTTTTTTGTACTTACTCCATGAAAGATCTCACCCCGTGAAAAAATTCAATCTTAAAAAAAAAAAAAAATAGGACTGGTAGTGTGGTGGTTAAGGGTGCTGGACTCATGGTCGAACATGGTTTGAGTCCTGGACCTGGCAGCTTGCTTTCTCACTTACTCTTTTCTGTCTCTCTCCCTCTCCAGTTAAATAAATAAATAAATAAAGTTAAATAAAATAATACTTTAAAAAAAATGTAAAGGGAGAGTCTAATATTTGCCAAGCCCTCTGCCAAAACTTGGGGATCACAAATGAAATACAACCCAGGAACTCGACAGACAAGATGAGGGGCCAACCAGTACCATGGAGTTTGGGACACTGGATCCTACACAGCACACCGCACAGTTGGAGTCCTGGGCCCAGTATTTTGAAAATCACTCTGGGCACATGTGCGTGCGTGTCCAAAGTCCAAAGAGGAGAATGAGGGGGAGGGGAATTGTGGCATGGCCAGCCCTGCTGTCGGCTGATTTCTCACTTTCCCTCTCTGTCTCTCTCTCTGGCCAGCATGCTCTACAACAAAAACAAATGAACAAACAAAAGACAAGATGGGGGGGGCGGGGCAGAAGTAAACAGGGTCCCAGGACCAGTCTCTCAAGAGGGTGCTGTGGCCTATAAGTCTGCCCAGGCAGCGGGAACAAAAGGCCACTGCGGGGAGGCTGAACAGCATGTTTATCGTCTCATGGTGTGGAGTCTGGGTGGCCGAGATCAAGGGGCCAGCAGAGTGGAGTGGCGAGGGCTCTCCTGGCTTGTGCATGGCCTTTGTCTGTGCCACAGTAGAGAGAGAGCGCTCAGACATCCTCCTTTTCTAATAGCAGCATCAACCCTATAGATTAGGGCCCCACCCTATGACCTCAGTTACCTCCCTAAAGACCCTGTGTCAGTACCAGCAGCTGGTGTAATGGCTATGTCACTGGATTCCCATGTAGTCAACCGCGGTTCAAGTCCCAGACCTGGTGGCTGAAACTCATTCCAGGTGTATGTGCGTGTGTGCCCAAGATCCCAAGAGGAGAATGGACGAGAAGGGATCGTGCTGTGGCCATCCCCCCTTCGGGGGTGATTTCTCACTTTCTGTCTCTCTTTCTCTGTCTCTCTCTCTCTCTCTGTCTTTTTGGCGAGTGCATGTGCCCCCCCCCCAAAAAAATGACCCTGTCTCCAAATATCATCATTAGATCTGGGTAGGGGTCTACAGCCCATGACCAGTGGTCTAGGGAGACCCTCACACCTTCCTGTGCGTTGCACTCCAGGCACCTGGCTAAGAGAGTGCAGGTGGGCGTTCCCGGGTGCTGCATCATCACCAAGATGCCCATACTGCGGGAGGAAGGTGAGTGGGACAGGCCTGGGCAGCCTGCGGGACAGTGGAGGGGAGGAGGAGCCCAGCCGGCTGCCGGTGCAGGGGCTGCGGTGGGAGATGAGCCTGGAACGAGGAGACATGTGCCAGCCCCAACTCAAGGCGGTGGGAGGGATCTTTCTTGCCAAGGTTCCTTCTCAGCGGTTCTGCCCACATGAGCAGAATCCTGAGCCTTCCCTCTTGGGTGTGCTCGGGCATCTCTCTGTGCCCGAGGAAGGTCCCAAAGTGGGGGTAAGCAGCCTTCTCCCTTCCCACCCAGCTGAGATCGAGCCTCGCCCCGTGTTTGAGAAGAAGCCTCTGGTGTGGGAGGAGGACATGGAGCTCTACTCGAGGTTCCTGCACCGGAAGGTGAGGAGAGGTTGCAGCTAGCCTGGGGTCCCCACACCCTCTCCGGCCACAAATTCCATCACTGCCTCTCTGCTGCTGAGTGACATGCACACCCCTGGGGCTGGAAGGGCCCCAGCGCGCCTTAGCTCTGCTTTCGGAGAGAGTGGGGGCTTCTGGGACGCGAGTCCCGCCGGCTCAGGTTGGGGCTGCCGGGTCCCCTGCCAGGAGGAGCTCCGACTCAGCCACGCCAGCTATCTGAGGCAGCACCCCGAGGCCCACGCGCTCATCTCGGACTTCCTGCTCTTCCTGCTGCTGCGCCAGCCCCAGGACGCGATCACCTTCGCCGCCGAGCACTTCGGCCCCTTCGCGGCTCACCTCCCGCCCACCCCCGCCTTGCGCTCCTCGCACCGGCCCAGCCCATTCCGCACGCTGGACCCCGAGGACCGCTCGGACTCGGAGGAGAGCTAGGCAGGGCCCGCGCGCTGGAGAACCCGGGAGTGCGCTGGCCGGGCAGGAGCAGGGTCGCCCGGTCTGTCCCCCTCCTGGGACGCGGACGGAACGCGCTGGGGACAGGCGCGCTTTCCCCACGGCGGGTTTTCCGGAAATAAATGGGGAAATCCCTTCTCCTCCCCCAAGCTCTGTGGTGCCAGCCGGGACCTTCCCCCGCCAGCGTTTTGTTTCTTGGGCTAAAAATAGGAACGGCTTACTCCATTCATCCAGTGAACTTCAGCCTTTCTTCCCAGATGCCGTTACAATACCATCATTATCTCCGGTTTACAGATCGCAAATCATAAACGCAGCGACTCTTAGAGCTGGTATGTGGGAAAGCAGGATTCGAACCTAGACACGGACTTGGAAGCCCACCCTTCGTCACCAAGTTAGCGGGGATGGAGGGGCAGGGCACGTTGGCACCGAGAATCATCGCGGATATCTCTAAGCGAAGTGGTCCTCCCCACCCCCCCACACCCCCTCCACAAAGAAAAAGAACAGGACGGTGGGTGGAGGAAAGAGGGGAACGTGGACCACTGGCCTTGCTCGACTCACAGCTCACGAACGTCACCAGCTGTCGAACACCTGCTCCTCCCTTTTTCCTGTGACACACAGGAACCCTAAGACCGCCAGCGCCCCCAGTTACTGGAGAAAAAATAATGGGCGGATGTTGGTCACCTCCTTTTAGGCTCTTTGCTTCACAACAGGTCTGGCCAGCGACTTGTTTCTGCCTGATGCTGGCAGCGGCTTGTAGCGAATGAAAGGCAGATTCCTGTGGGAGCAGCGGCTGTTGGGGTGAAGGCTTCGCCTCCATCCATCCACCTGCTGCGGAGAGGTGAGGGACGAGGTGAGGGACTCCTGAGATGCCGAGCACTCCAGTGGGCGGGTCTCTGACCCCGGAATCAAGGAAGGAAAGCTGCATGGAGAACTGTCACCCGAGTTGAGCCTTGAAGATTTATATATCTTATTGTCCCCCTCCTTTATTTATTTATTTTATTTATTTTGGAGAGGTTTTTGCTATAGGGCCGTGCGCTCGCCAGACAGAGAGAGACAGACAGAAAGTGAGAAATCACCCCCCCCCGGGGGGGGGGATGGGTAGCGCGCACTCCC